TATGATGAAGACATTCAGTAAAGATCAGTGGCTCCAAAAAGAAGTGTGGACTGTTGTGTGTAATAGTCCGTGGTGATTATTCCAGATTGACAGTCAGGCTTTTTTCCACTTTGTCTCTCTGCCAGTACTAAGGCCAGTGGCTTCATCACCAGTGGATTTTCTGGTACATCTGTGTTCCCATCTACAGGAAAGGGAAAGAGCATAGTGGAAGGTTGGGAGAGAGGTTGTCCACAATCTTAAGGTCATACAAAAAGGTCTGAGACATATGAACTGGCAGAATGCCTTGGAGGAAGGGGAAGTCGGTGCTGGTGGACAGTTTGTCTCCAGCAAGGGAGTTTTGCTGAATGTGCAGATGGCCGTTCTGAATCAATATGGCCTTGAGCATAGACAATAGACAGGCTGAGAGAATGATAATGTGGGAGCCCTTCACCCCTTAAATCCCCTCACCCCATTCACACGCACGGGCCACCACATGCTTATTCCCACCCAGAAACACAAAGCCAACAGAGTGTCATGTGACATATTAATCTAGCAAACTTTGCCATCTCCCTAAAGACTCCCTAAAACCATGCCCATGGTCCGCTCCTTGTGCCAAGTAGGGCCTGAAGAAAAGGTGTGGGTTTGCTAGGAATGATCTAGAAGGTGGAGGGATGTACTAGCCCAGAATGCAGATGCCAAGATGGGATTAAATGTGCATTCATCTCCCAGGGAGATCAGCCTGTGTGGAAGGAAACAGGGGAGAGCCAGGGAAGACTGGAGGCCTACCAGGGAGACCTACAGTGTGACCCTAGAGATGGAGAGCAGGGAGGAAGTTATCCTCCAACCGCGCTGCAGCCACCAAAGCTCCAGCAGAGCATTTGGAATCCTTGAGCCCAAATCCACCAGCTCAGAGGTCTTCATGGCCCCCAGGAATAGTTCTGTCTCATTGCCCCAGCCACACAAACACTGGGAATGGCAGCCCCTAGCTGGAATCACTACCTTAGCCAATGAGGTGGTGCCTTCAAAGCCAAGATAGCTCTCCACAGCAGGAGTTCTGCAAAGTCCATCCGTATGGGTGCCTCAGAAGCTCACAGATAGAACTGGAGTTCTGATTCTAGAAAGAGAAGAGTTGTAATTTAAAATGAAAACAAAAACAAGCAAAAAACAGCTGGAAGCCAGGTACCGGTGGCTCATGCCTATAATCCTAGCTACTCAGGAGGTGGAGATCTGAGGATCTTGGTTCAAACCCAGCTGGGGCAAGAACATCGGTGAGACTCTCATGTCCAATGAATCACCATAAAACCGCAAGTGGCACTGTGGCTCAAGTGGTAGAGCGCTCACTTTTAGCTGAAGAGTTCAGGGACCGTGACCAGGCCCAGAGTTCAAGCCCCATGACATCCTCTCTCTCTCTCTCTCTCTCTCTCTCTCTCTCTGTCTCTCTGTCTCTCTCTCTGTCTCTCTGTCTCTCTGTCTCTCTCTCTCTCACACACACACACACACACATACACACCCCAAAACTGAGTTGTAATATAGCTGGCCATCTGCATGATCCTGGTCAAGAAACCTAACCTTCAGTTTCTCATCTGTGAACTACCTCGGAAAAACTGCCTTGATCAAGGTGCATTCCCCTAAAGGGGTTGCTTAGTAAATAGTGATCCTTACAACTGCTTTTTCTCCCTCTCCTTTTCTCTCTCTCCCTTTCTCTTTCTCTCTCTCCCCCCCCTCTCTTTTTCTCATATGTGTGCATGCATGTGTGCACACTGCACACATGCACACTGATTCTCAAGCTTAAACTCAGGACCTAGGCGCTGCCCATGAGCTTTTTGTGCTTAAGGCTAGAGTTCTATCACTTGAATTACATCACCACATCCAGCCTTTTGCTGGTCAACTACAGGTAAGAGTCTCACAAACTTTTCTGACCGGGCTGCCTTCAAACCTTGATCTCCGGTTCTCAACCTCCTTAGTAGTGAGAATAACAGGCAGGACCCACCAGCTCCCTGCAACCTCTCCATTCTCACAGGACCCAGGGGCTACACCAATGTACTTCCTGGAGGGAGGCGCCCGGTCCACAGCTGGTCCCAGTTCCCTGGGACTGCAGGTGGCCTTTCTCTCAACCCCAAACCACGTGGGCCCAGAATTGGCACACAAAACACTGCAAAAGGCCATTCTTGCTTTTAAATCAGTCCAAGAAGCACTATGATGAATATTTTCCCCAGGGCCAAAGAGAAATATTTAGGAGAGGCTGCCAACCAGGACCAAGATGGTCACTTGTTACTCTGCCTGCTCTAGGTTCCAGCCTTTTAAAACATCACCCAGGCTAGATCACAGGCTGGAGACCAGGAGGGAAGGGGAAAAAGCAGGCGTCTGCTTGGACAGGCCTGTAAATCCAGACGGCTGGCAGCCTTCCATCCACCCGGCACCACAACAACTCCACACATACTCTGTTCTCTCTCCCAGCCCCCATCCGTGCACTGATTCTATACTTACCTCCTCCATCCTTCCCACCTCATCCCTTTTTCTCTCTCTGCTGGCATTTGTCTTATTCTTGTCTTTTGATATCCTCTGCCTATCAAATTGAGTTTTTTGCATCTGTGTCTTTCCATCACCTTTTCTCTGTCTCTTTCCCTATCCAACAATCATTGCTCTTCATCTGTCTCTCTGTCTGTCTCTTAGACATGTCTCCTTGTGTTTTCTGCCACATGGTCACTCAACCCAGCACAGCCTGCTCCTCTCACAGCCTTCCAACCTCTCAGGGTCACTGCCTTTACCAAATTTCTTCCTGAATTACTCCTCAGTACTGACACTTACAAGCCAGTGCCAGGGGTTTATGCCTATAATCCTAGTTATTCAGGGGGCTCAGTCTGGAGGATCAAGGTGTGAGGCTAGTGTGGGCAGAAAAGCTTGCTAGATTCCATCTCCAGAATAACCAGCACCAAACAAACAAAAACATGGCTTGGAGATGTGGCTCAAGTGGTGGAGTACCAATCTAGCAAGTATAAGGCCCTGAGATCAGATTCCATTACCAGAAAAAAGAAGCCAGTTGTAGTCCAAACTCAAAAAACTGGGTCAAATAGGATGTCACTTTCGTACATGAGCTTAATTAACTGTGGAGTTTCTCTTCAATAGAACTTGATGACGATCCATACATACAGATATTAAACACAAATACAATCAAGTTTAAAAGCAGGTTGGAAAAGAGTAGAACACAAATCCTTTTAAAAAATTTTTTTTGGTCAAAGAAAACAGATTTGCAGATGTAAGTACACATTCCAGTATTTGCCTGTTATCTGTGAGTGGTAGGAACACAGGGACTTGTTTTGCATTATAATGGACTTTTTTTTTTCTTGGGCAATGAATGCTAGAATGATTTACAATAAGGAAGTAGGTGAGATGGACAGGGAGCCTCCTTGTTGCTTCTTGATTCCTTTTAACCTCACAAACATTCTAGAAGCTTGTGGCCAGTGCTGCTTTCTGCTAGCAACTGAGCAGGGAGCCCTGGACACCAAAGGGTATGTGACCCATGGACGCCCTTCAGGTAGCTCCTTGGAGCATCAGACTCCGGGGAGTAGAAGCAGGAAGAGGGAGAAGAGGGAGCAGTAGCATGCTCCTCTGTCCCCCTCTCCAGTCTCTGGAGAGACAGGGCACATGACTGGGTTCAGGAGATTCAGAGCATCAGCCACCCCTCCCACTCCTGGAGGAGGGAGGGCCAGCCCAGAGATGGCAGCTGCAGGGCCTAGAATAAAGCATCAAGCACAGCTGCCTGGCAAGACCAAGGCCTTGGCAGCTAAAGGCCCCCTGTCACAATCCGTACCACAATGGAGCCATTGCAATGGCCAGTGCGTTCTTTGGGGCTGGGACAGGGGCCAAAGACCCCAGCCACCAAGGCCCTGGCTGGGCTCCTACTCTGAGCCAGTGGGGAGGACATCCTCTCGGGCCCTGGTGTTCTATTTTTGTTTCTTTGTTTCATTTTCTCAGATGTGCTATGCGCTGTACATGCATGTCACACACACACACACACACACACACACACACACACAGCAGCCCCTTGGCCTGAGGGCACGGGGACACAGAAGTACCAACTCTTCTCTCTGCCATGGTGGGTCAGTCTTGGGGTAGTCCTGGAGAGGCAGCTCTGTAGGGGGACCCCAAGTGTGTAGACACATTCTCTGAAGGTCACTTGCTACCCTGGTTGCTACTTGTTACCAGGTGACATGGCTACATCTCTAACCCAGAGGACTTAGCGTACAGACAGAGATGCGGGGCAGTTGCAGAAGAGCCCTGGAAAGCTCAAGAAGCCTACACCACTCCCCTCCACGTGGCTGTCACCAGCTACTGGGCTGTAAACAAAGGCGGGTGCTGGGAAGGAGTGGAGGGGACGCAGTAAGTGCCCAAACTCCCTAAAGTCTCTACATAAAGACATGCTCCACCCTGTGTGTGGGAACCTCAAGGGGGCCAAGGAGAAGGGCAGGGAAGGGAACGGAGGACAGGAATAGTTGGATGGCGCGGCCCAGGTGCGCCCGGCACCGCGCTGAGTCAGCGCGGGGCTCGCGGTCTGTTACCTGTCCAGGATGGCCAGTGCGCACCCCACTGTCGCCCTGCCTTGGGTCCCACCACCCAGACTTCCTACTGTGGGCTCGACCACCAGCTTCCCCTCACTCCTTGCAAGGAGCCTCGGGGAAAGGGGGGTTGGGTGGGGTCTGCTGTGCTAGATGCCTCGGCATCGACCTGATCCCCACCTCCGAAAGAATCTCTCCATCCCGCGTGCTAGCGATATAGAATAGACACTGGGGGGGGGGGGGTGGCATGCAGGCTCTCCGGCCCCGGGAAGCGGGTAAAGAATTCTGCCAGGGCTGACACTGAAGTTTGTGGCGTTTCCTGCACTTGGGCCTCCTCCCTGCTTGGGAACCTGGCTCGGCGCTGCTTCAGTGTCTATCCATCCCCACCCTCCATCCTTGTATCTTGGGAACCTGGGCCCCTAAGGTTCAAGAAGTCAAGAGCCTGAAATAATTCACTGTGCAAATATATTGACTTTATTTGTCTCCATTCGGGAGCCTCACAGACATATCCAGGTAAAAAGATCGTTAAATAAACACCTTCAGCTCTTGCAGTGCAAAAATAAATATCAATCCTCCGGTCTCAGCAGCAGCAGCCTCGCTGCGCCCCAAGTCCCATCGGCCCGTCGACCATTATAAAAGTGTTCAGCGCGAGTGTCGGCGTGAGTGTGAACGGGCGTGCGCTGGAGGGAGGGGGAGGCGCGAGGGGAGGGTAACCGTGGAGTGGTGCGCAAAATCGGGAGTCGCAAACCATCAGCAGAGGGTGGCGGAGTGGCGACCCCGGCGACCCTCGGCGGATTCGGCGCGGACCCCGCCCCTCCTCCCCGCCGCACACACTCACAGCAGAATCCGTACCGGGAAGAGTTGAAAAATAAACATTTACAAGGGCAAAGAAAAGCAGCCCCCTTTCCCGGGGTTGCTGAGCGAGCTCGGGGGGGGGGGGAACTCCCTTCCTCCCATCCCGTGGCCTGGGCGAGCGCAACCAAGCGCGCACCCATCAGCTCGCCGCGGGGCAGAGGTCCAGACGCGCAAAGGGGCAGCGATCGCCGATCCTCGGGAGGGTGCCCGTCCCCCGCGCCCGCCCCGCAGCACCGGGCGCGGGTCCTCTCCCCGATGCGCCCCGGCTGGGGGCCCCCCCGGCAGGCCGCGGAGGCGCGCGCGCGCTCTCCCCCCACCAGGCGGGCGGCGCCCCTCACAGGGCCGAGTCCGAGTCGCTGGAGTCCAGGCTGTTCCTCAGTTTGCAGCCGCTGAGCTGCTCCCTCTGCAGCGACAGGCTCTGCGTGCTGCGGCGCAGGCACTCCAGACTCTGCAGGAATGACTTCTTCGCCTTCTCCTCCTCCATGGGCGACACCCCTTCCTCCTCCACCTCCTGGATCTCGTCGAAGGTCACCGGCTGCGTCTTGAAGCGGGACTGGCGCGGCCGCCGCAGCCGGCCCTTGCCCTTGGAGAGCTTGGCCGGCCGCACCGGCTGCGGGAACGCATCGGCGAGGCACACGAAGTGCGGCATCACCGCCTGGTAGTTGGAGCAGATGCCCATAAGCTCTCCCGGCTTGGCGGCTGCCATGGCACCGCCGGCGTCTGCGGGGCCGGACGGCGGGACGCTGGGACTCTCCTCGGGCGGCCGCTGCGCCGGGTCCCCCCGGGAGGCAGCAGCCTGGGGATCGCCGGACTGGGGATCCAAATCTGCTGCGGGGTGGCGGCGGCCCTCGCGGGCCCGGGCCGGAGCTCCTAGGGAGGGCGGGTGTACCGACCCGTCGGGGGAGGTGGGGGGCGGGGAGGGGGAGAAACGCGGGGCTCCGGGGAGTTGCTGCTCCGCTGCGCTCTCAGGCGCTCGCCGCTGCCGCCGCCGTCGCCGTCTGCCCCGCGGTGGCCCGGGTTAGCGGCTTATATAGCCCGCTCCTGCCCACACGGCAGCGGGCTCGGATGACAGCGAATGCCATTTAAAGCGTGCGCGCCCCGCGCCCTTCCGCCTGACGTCGCCCCGCCACTCTGGGAAAGTAACGGCCCCTTCCCCGGCGCCGCCCCGCGGCCCCCCACCCCCCACTCCCAACCCGCTCCGGAAGGCAAGCCCCGCCCGCCGGGTTCCGGGAGAATCTGTGGCCCCTGGAGCGCGCGGCCCCGCGGAGCTGAGCGCAGGACCCGGCTCCGGGGTTGCCAAGGCTGAGCTGGCACGGGTATTCCGGACCTCTCGCCATCCATCTGCACCAGCCCAAGCGGCCATGGGACTCAGGTCGCCTTTCTCAGTCCCCAAACCCCAGAAAGCTCACACTTAAGACGTTATTCCACCGACGATCGCCCAGGGCGCAAAAGACAACAGAGCTGTCCGGTTGGCTGGAAGAGCTGGGGCGCCAGGCTCCCTAGAGCCGAGATTCACCATCACCACCACCCACTGTTCAGGCGCACGCGTACACACACACACACACACACACACACACACACATGCACCCCCATTATTCCATTCTGGTTCTTTACTTCCCAGGATATCTTGTTTCTCCCCTGCCCCCTTCCGCACGAGTCCCTCCTGCACCCCCATTCATGCACTTAAGAATGGCACTTGGGTATGGCACTAACAACAACAACAATAATAACTACCATCTGGGGAGCTTACTCGGAGCCAGCCAGTGAGCTCCGTTTTACATATATTTTCCTATTTCATTCTCATAATAGCCCAGTGAGCTAATTAGTATTCTTTCTATTTTACATAAGAAAAGGCAGGCCTAGAGGGGATAATTAACTAGTCCTCTAGTAAAAATGGAAGCTTGTGGAACAGACTCCAGGGTGCAAGCTCCAGGGTATAGCACCCAGCTGAGGGTAACACAGGAAGCAAAATCCCACTGTCTCCCCTCCCCCCTCCCCACATCCATCAGAGCAGATCCCCCAGGGAAGCCCTTGTCCAGTGCCCAGGGGGCCCCTAGAGGAGATAGAGAAGATGTCAACGGGGGAGGGGGCTGGGAATATGGCTTAGAGGTAGAGTGCTTGCCTAGCATGCATGAAGCCCTGGGTTTGATTCCTCAGTACCACATAAACAGAAAAAGCTGAAGAGGCATTATGGCTCAAGTAGTAGAGTGCTAGCCTTGAGCAAAGAAGCTCAGGGACAGTGCCCAGGCCCTGAGTTCAAGCCTCAGGAATGGGGGGGGGAGATGCCAAGGGGAGTTGCATTGGTCACCTGGAGAGGCGTCTTAGAGTGGGTGACTTTTAGCTGACACCCAAAGAACAATAATAGCACCACTAAGTACTTAATAAGTAATGTGCCAAGCATTGATTGCATGTATGCATCCATTCACTTAGTGCGAATGTTAGCTATTTTATTTCATCTTCCTAACCCCTCTGGGTAACAAGGAGCCGTACTGTAGATGGTGGGGCAAAGCAAGGCACAGAGAATCTAAACAACTTGCCCCCAATACCACAGCTAATTAGTAGTAAAGCTGATATTTGAACCCAGGCAGAATGTGAGTCTTGAGACCTCAGTCTTGTCCACTACACTGGTCAGGCTGGAGTAGGACAAATGGGCTAGCCATAAGTAAGAAGAGATTGTTTGGGTAGAGGGCCCTCTAGAGAAAGGTGTTAAGGCAAATAAGGTTGGGAAGCCTGTGCCTAAAGCAGTATGGGTCCTGGACATGAGAAGTGGGGGGCAGTCACTCGGGCCTTGGAGCCATACTATGGCAATAGAATTTCACTATGAGGGTGTTTAGTGAGTCACTGGCGGATTTTGAGCCTGGAACTACATCCTCTAATTTGTTTTTCAAAACTTCCTCTGGCTGTAGCAAGAAGCCATGGAAGAGTAGGAAGTCTAAGATGATGTTCATACAATCTCAGGTTCAGTGCCCTGAAGATCTGGAATAGGGTGGGAATCTGTGGAGATAAAGGGGAAAAATGGTCCTATTTAGAGCCTGTCTAAAGATAAGATATGGGGCCAGTGTGTCCAGGGGGAGGAGATCAAGGCTGATTCCAATGTGTTTGGTTTGAACGTGTGTTTGGTGGATTTGAACGTGTGTTTGGTGGAGCCAGTGATTGACAGGGGAACACCGGGAAGAGGGACAGCCTGCTAGATGTCCATCAAAAGCCACCTGAAACCCCAAGCTCTGAAATTCTCATAATGGAATCATATTCCATGAGAGAAGTATCAGTTTCCATAATGCTTGAAATCATGCTACTCTGTAATTCCTTCAAACAATAATGTCCTGTAGTTCCTTTGGACAATAATCCTTAGCAATGGTCTCACTAATACGGAAATTGGTACCAAAAATGGGAAGCTACCTTGAAATAATCACCTCAGAGCTGTGGCAGGCCCTGCTTAGCCAACAGGTGGTGTGCAGCAGGGAAACATGCTGGCGGATGGGAAGCCAGTGACCTTTATTACCAGGGTATGAAACACTTACCACAAACAATACTGGGATAATTTGTAAGATGGACCCACATGCCTACTGAGCCTATAATTCTAGAAAGATGGTTGAAATGAGCCAAAAACATTTGCATGTGTTGGCTACTTGATACTGCTTTTAGCAAGGTATTACAAGAAAGACATTGGCTAGTTTACAAGAAGAAATAGCCAGAAATAGAATCCAGAAAACTGGTGTCCTGGGGGTTGGAAAGTCACTTAGACACAGACGAGCAGGAAATCAGATGATGGCTCTGTGGCCCAGAACTTCTCTTGATGCTTATCTATGGGGCCAAAATCTAGCTCCCAATACACCCCGTGGCAAAGCATTTTTAGCAAGGGGTTTGTGATCCAAATCTATGATTTCACATTCCTTAGGGTTGCCTTCCTTGTAAAACAAGAAGAAAGAGATGGGCAAGAAAAAGAGATTGTCAGGAAAGGAACTGTAGGTGTGGTTACTTGACCAAGGGCCTGACTAGAACCAGATAGATGTGAAACTCACTGGTCTGTGAGCAAATTATCACTGACAAAGTTGTGTGGCTGGGCAGTGGAGTGATGGCTCCTGCCTGTCATACTCACCTACTTGGGAAGGTTAGATATTTTCTCAAGCATGGTACAAGTGACATTCACCTGTCATCCCAAATTATATGGGAGGCTGAGATTGAGAGGACTGTTATTGCAAGACAGCACAGGCAGAAAAGGCTTTAAGACTCCATCTCAATGGAAGGGAAGCTAATCGCTTGGGCCTATGATCCCAGTGACAAGAGAAAGATGGATTGACACTCAGGCTCAGGTCCAGTTAAGGAAGCAAGAATTTATCCTAAAAATAAGCGGAAACCAACAACAACAGGGCTGTAAATGTTGCTCAGTGGTACTCCACCAGCCTAGCAAACATAAGGTCCTGAGTTCAAACCTCAGTACCACCAAAAAAGAATTTCTCTGCATGGCTTGGTTGCAAAAGCCTGTGCGTGTTCAAGCCTAAGTCAGCATTCAGTGTGCACAGATCCTCAATACTCTGCTTTGGTTGTAAATCATCAAATGATAAAAGAAGGTAGAATTGGAAGTGGTGCTGTAGCTCAAGTGGTAGAGCGCTAGCCTTGAGCTGAAGAGCTGAGGGACAGCGCCCAGGCCCAGAGTTCAAGCCCCACGACCGACAAAAAAAAAAAAAAAGAAGGTAGAATTTCCCCCCAAAGACAAAGTCAAGGGCCAGGGAAACAGGGGAGCCACCATTCTAGTGGGTAGATTTTGATAAGAGAATGTTGGCTGTCCACCTCGCTGAGTCACATTCTCCAACTTTTGTCTCCTACAGTGAGGGGTGTCACTTGTCTGAACTCCTTTGCCAAGAGAACGTGGAGATATGACTTCCACCTATTTTCCAAGAGGAAGTGCCTGCCCTATACTTCTGTGCTGTTCTCCTTGCACCGGCAGGAAGAGCAACAATGAAGAGACATTAGTTTAGTTTCCTCCCCTCTTTCATCTTCAGTTTGCGCTTCTCAAAAGGTAGCTCTGCAGCAAACAGCTACTTTCTTTGCTGAAGTCACAGAGGAGACACTAACTTGGCACAAATGGCACAAGACTTTATCCACTGCCATACACTGATTCTCCCACTGGTGGTCCTACTTCAAGCAGCCTGTGGGAAGTACTGGGCCCTGATGCTGGGCTGGGGAAGCTGTGCTCAGAAGTAGTCTTGGCACCACCATGAGGCACAGCATGATTCTAAGGGGGTCCCCCTGGGTGTGCCTCTCTCTGAGTCCTTAAGAATCTCCCTTTCCCCACCAGCCTGATGTTCCCAGGGATTTATCCTGGCAGGCAGGGCAGCCCTCCACGTCAGCTCCACAGCTGGCATACAAGCAGCGGGTGTCCCGTTGCTTCCATGGCCTAGTTTAGAGCTGAGCTCATCACAGCTTGAAGGAGGACTCTGGGCTGGGGCACCTGAGACGGGGGCTCTTACTTGGGAACATGGTTCCTCTCTGCTCTCTCCCTCTGTTACCCTCTCTCTTGCTCACTCTGCTTGTTCATACTGACTCCTCCTCTAAGAACTTGCTGGGATCGTCATGGCAACCTTCCAGCATAACTGTCAAAATGCTCTAAGCTCGCAATTGTTCAAGACAAAGTGCTACTTCTGAGTGAGGAGAAGCAGCTGGGTGGGATACCAAAGTCACAGGCTCGTGCCACTGCTGGGTGGTGGAGTGGCCACATTGGAAGCCAAGAGGAGGCAGGGTCACAGACAAGGCCTGCCATCGCCTTGCCAGCTCCGTGCTGTATTTGTCACTGTCCCTCTCTTTTCCCTTGTGCCATGTTCACACACACACACACACACACAGAGGGTCAAAACTGCCCAAAGTGCAGATCGATCCAAATGGCACTGTCTATTGTAACCATGGCCTTCCTGTGCTCTGTGCTGTGAAACCCACTCTGGGGAGACTTCAACTCAGACATGGGAAGCCACAGAGCTGTGGATGCTGGAGCTGACACTGCAGCCCAGGTGACTGATGGGTATCTGACTTCCGGCTGGCTCAGTGCTGTTCTTGTCTGCGTGGACCCGTCAGGAGGGGAATGGCC